TCCGGGATGGATCAGTGCGTGACGGTGGAGCGCGAGCTGGAGAAGGTGCTGCACAAGTTCTCGGGCTACGGGCAGCTGTGCGAGCGCGGCCTGGAGGAGCTCATCGACTACACGGGCGGCCTCAAGCACGAGATCCTGCAGAGCCACGGTAGGCGGCCCGGCTGGGCGCGCGGCTGGGCCCATCCTCCGGAGCCTCATCCCCAAGCCCCGCTTGGAGAGCCCTCACCCGCCCATCCTGCCCCGGGCTCCGGCGGGCCGGGAAGTGGCCCCTCCGGGGAGGGCCGCCCCTGCGGCGCGGACACGAGCTCTCGGACGCTTGTGACTTTGCCCTCTCGTCCCGACCGGTGTACGTCGGTCCTATCGGGCTGTGGTCGCGAACCGAGCATCCGCGGGGGAACCGGGTCGCGAGCTGCGTGCTCTGGCGGGTTAAATGTGCGTGGTGGGGGCGGAGGGTGTGTGTTCCGCCCACCGCCTCTACAAACAGCCTGTCACCCCCGGGGTGGGCGCCCCTCGCCTCCCCAGGCTCCCACCTTGCCCCCGGGTCCGGGTCCCGGTCCGGGTCCGGAGGGCGGACGTTGGTGGATGAGACAGGACGCCTGGATGTAGGCGGTGAGACCGTGCGGGAAGCCCATCCCTCCTCCCCAAACAAACCCTCCGTTGATGGACTTTCTTTCTTCGTCTTTTTTTTTTAACCATCGCAAAGTCGAGTGTTGTTCCTAAGGTTAGGCTAACTGCACAGTTGCTCCCGCAACTTCAGCGTTTGACGGCTGGGTGGAAGCGGCGCTTCCAGAACGCCGCCGGCTGCCCTGACAGGCTTCCTATTCCTAGCGAAGCAGCCGACTCTAACTGGGGTAGGTGGTGAGGAGGAGCAGCCGGCCGCGGCGCCCAGCCAATGGGGGCCTAAGTTCCAGTTCTCCTTTCCCGGTCAGGTATTGACTTGTTTTCCGTTCGGAAAACAGATTTTCGATGGGAGGGATCCTTATGGCCCTAGGCCCTGGGGACAGATCGTTCGCCAGAGTTCCCTTTGGAAGCTGGTTGGGAGAGGTCTCCACCCCTCTTTAAATAACATTAAAAGATCTGTTCTCTTTACAATACAGGTATTGTTGCTACTTTTTCTTTTCTTTTATTTTTTTACATTTTACATTTTAAAATAGTTTATCCATAATGACAATATTGCAGCTCCAAATTTGCTGTGGTTCTTAGATGTGTGCTTGCATATGTTTAAAGGTCATATTTATAAAGAGAACAAAAGGCAATAATAGTGGGGTGGGGGGGAGTAAAAAAAAATTTGTATTTGTCTACTCCAGAACCCATCATGACTACCTGTGGTTACAGTGGCCATTCTTTCTGGTCATGAAGTAAAGAAAGGCCTTCTCGTTTAGTGGGGTTCTTTAAGAAGTTGGGTATCGGAGGCTGCTCACCCAGTGGGGGAAACAGGAATTGATGAAAAGGAATGGTGGCTGAGGAGAACGATGATGCTGTGGCAGTTGGGATGAGAACAGTGCCCTCTCCAAGCTTCTCTTACATCTCTTTATTCTACACAGCCCCTTCCCATGACACCTTTCAGAGACAGGAAGTGTTCATATGCAGTAAGGGAGTCAGTCTTACAACACCCTCTCATCCTGGACCCAGCAGCAGCTCCTTTTGAACTCCAGGGAGGAAGCAACCGTGCAGCCACAGTGGGAGTGGGATTAGAGAGGAAGGGAGTTGAAATATTAATGTGGACAAACCAGCAGAGCTTGATGGCCGCTAATGAAGGAAGGGAGGGGAGGTTCGGCTAACTTGTCTGGTGACTGACACAGCTGGTAGAAATGGGGAAGTGGAGGTGGAGTGGTGTGAGTCCTGGGAAGGGTTTGGGGAGTTTGCTGTTGGACATGTGAGGTAGCTCTGCAGGGATTATGAAGATAGAGACAGATTCGATGTTAACTGGTGGCTGGAGACGCATAGATGACAGTTTAGAGAAAAACCAATGACTAAAACTGTTTTTTGATGTCATTTCTGCAGAGGAAAGGAGGAGCCCATTTAGGATGCAGGGAGAAAACACTGTAGGGTCTTACTCATGGTTCTCAACCTTTCTAATGCCTCGACCCTTTCATACAGTTCCTCATGTTGTGACACCAACCATAACATTTTTGTTGCTCCTTCCTAACTGTAATTTTGCTACTGTTATGAATCTGGCGACCCCTGTGAAAGGGCCATTCGACCCCCAGGTTGAGAGCCGTTGATCTAACTTAACACAACCTTGAACTCCCCTTACGGAGTAGAAGACAGAAGGGGAGGCAGCAAGAACCAAAAGGTCACCGCGAAGTGTTGATCAGGTGCTTTTGGATATTGGGAGTCAGCAGTTCTCTATGCTTGCAGTTTTGTAGAGTTGCTAAAACAATCCTGGTTGCAAAAGGGGTTGAGAAGGACTGATGGAACACACTCATATGTTAAAGACCTGCTGCTCAACTTGGTGGTGGTTAATTTTCCTTCTCTCCCTTTGCCTTAAAGACTGAAAGGAAGGGGTCTGGGGGAAGAAAATGGATGAAGGGGCTAGACTTAGGTGGAAGGAATATTTCCTTTCTAGGGACAAGCTCAGAGATTGAGGGTCTGAGAAAGTGGAAAGTGAAGTACTTTGCTTTGTATGTGAGAGAAGGGTGTACTTGTTGAAGGGGGATGATCATGAGTTTTGTTTTAGGGGATTTATGTATCATCCCTCTTAGATAAAATGATTGTGAGGAATTGTCCATGCAGGAATTGGCTTTCGACTTCTTTGCACAGAATCAGGAACTTCTCCTAGGAGTGCATGGTCTGCTAGAGTCAACCTTTTCAACCTCTCTTAAGTGGCTGCAACAATGGGCTCAGGCCTAGCAGCAACAATTGGAAGGATACCTCAGGACCAGGAGGTGTGTTGTTCTGATGCACAAAGGGGCACTTCGAGTTGGAATTGACAACACCTCACAACAGCAACAAGTCTTGTGCTTTTGTTTATCAGATTGCCAGTCTTACATTGGTATCTCTTTGATTTCTTTTAATTTTTTCACAGCGAGATTAAGTAGCTGAATAAAAGCAGCTGTAAAATGGGAAAGGAAAATAAATATGATTACTGCAAGTGTGTCAGGTCTTCTGTCTCTAGATGTTCTTTTGTGAGAAGACAAACCACAGTTGGATATTTGGGCAGTTTGGGGGTTTGTTTCCCCCCCCAAGTAATTTCTAAACATTTCTGCAGATAATGTGGTGAATGTTACATTGAATGCCAACTATACTTTCCTTAGAGGAGGCCTGGTGGCATAATGTTTATGCATTGATTGGCCTGTTAATCACAAGGTGAACAGTTTAAAGCCACCAGCTGCTCCTCGGGAGAGAGGCTTTCTACTCCTGCAAAGAATTGTACAGGCTCGGAAAGCCCCAGGGCAGTTCTACTCTGCCCTCTAGGATTGCTGGAATCAGATTTGACTTGATGGCAGTGATTTGGGGTTTTTGAGTTACACCTTTCTCAGAGATACATCTACTAGAAATTGAGTTTGAACCTCCTTTTAAAGGGGGAATTTCAGGAATTTTTTTACCTGTCTTGTCAAGTAACCTGGTGACTTCTTTGACCTGAGAGAGGGCCTCCTCGTGTTTCTCTGCTAAGGCTTTGGGTCACATTTTCTGGACTGTGTGTGTGTGTGTGTGTGTTCTTGTGGGAATGTGATATGTAAAAGTAACTGTGGGAGCTTGTAGGACCTCCATCCTTTTTAGGACATATCATTGCATCATGTTGGTGAGTTTTGAAACATTCCTTTTTCAGAAGTGCTCTTTAACTTGGGCTAGGGAATCAGTTCTGGTTCTGAGAATGAATCAATTCAGGTTCAAATTTCTTTTTTTTTAAGTTGTGAGCAAACAGGATTATTACATGAGTGCAATTAAGGATAGTTTGTGGTGGAGACAGCATATATAAATGGAGTTGAGTTAGTAAGTCCCTAGACAACCCTGTTCAACTCTCGACCACCCGTATTACAGATGGTAAGCTCCGCCTCAAGGGGGCTAGCCTGGAAATAGTCATGTCATGAGCCCTACAACGTTTCAGTTCTAAATTGATGCTGTGTTGCTTGAAATTCTTTCGTATGAAATGTCTCTGATTTACCATCTTTTATTTCAAAACATGCAGCTATCTTAACACTGATATCCCTGGTGGAGGAATGAGGTAGATTGGCGTGGTATGGTCATTCCCACCTGGTAAGTTTGTTCTTTGCCATCTAATCTTCTCCTAACCAAGTCTGTCAACTTGGGAAATTGAAATGGGGGTAGTACAGTGGGATTTGGAGGCCTGTAGCAGAGGAATAATATGGAGTGTCAGGCCTTGAGGGAAGTGCAGGCCATGACTGGGTACCATAGCTAATCAGGGAGTCTTGTTGGTTTGGGGCAACGCAAGGGTGATAGAAGCATGAGCTAGAGAGCACGGTTCTGCCCAGGATGAAGGCATCTTCTGATGCGTTTAGTGTTGCCTTGGAGAACTTAAAATGGTAGCTAAAGGATGGGAGAGGTGGCTAACGTAAAAGATGGAGTTAGGGCAAGCCCAGGGGTCTGTTCTGAGATGTTGTCCTGAGAAAGGAGTACCTTTTTTTTTTTAAATAACCATTTGCCTGAAGTTGAAGAATTTTACGGAACTTTGAATCTTATCCTTTATTGTTTGCATTGAACTCTACCCACTGCCATTAAGTCAATGAGTCAATTCCAACTCAAGAATGATCTTAAAGGATAGAATAGAACTGCCTCTGCTGGTTTCTGAGACTAAATCAGGGGTGCTCACACTTTTTCAGCATGTGAGCTACTTATAAAATGATCTATCAACTACAAAAATGCAAAGCATATTTATTTTTATTTATTGCATTCATAAATTCATTGAGAATTCTTTATATGTACAATGTATGTTTATGTACCTTGCATGCATGAGTCCATTTTGCACAGCACAACACAATTAACTATGTGCATTTTTGGTCATTACCTGAGTTTACTCTGATGACTTGCACTGAATGGAATGAGCCAGGGATGCATAGTTCAGACAGTAGCTGCTGACAGCCAGCCTCAGGCTCAGTTCCAAAAGATCATAGTCATGGTGGAACGGTACTTGGACTTAATGATCTTTATGTGGGAAAAGGCTGATTCACATAAATAAGGAGAGCC